TTGAAGTTTTCTGTAGATATCCTCGGGTTTTATGCCTTCAGTCACAAGAAACTTCATCACCACATGCTGGTCCATGCACACACTAACACTGTTGTCTGCCATCTTGATTAATAGTCTCTGGACTGGCCTTTTGACATGTGCGCTGCCTATCAGTAATACGACACACTTGCCACTTACTACTGCATGTAGTACTGCCATGCTAGTATCCCTTTTTATACCTGTAAAATTAAAAGTCCCAGTTTGACTTGAACGCCTGTCTATAAAAATAGGAAAAAAAGGTATTTATAACTACACACATTTTGCTTTTAATTTCTATTTTAAACTGAATAGAATGTTTAATAAGGTGAGGGCACACATACTTAAAAAAGTAACCTGTTCTGTTTGCATTGCTTCATTTGTGTAAAATACCTGGCAATCCTACAAAGTCCCTCTGCTTTCCTATTTCAGATTGCCCATGCTCGGCATGGAACCACATCTATTTCAGGTCAGTTTTCTGGTCTCTACTTCCAGCTCTCCAAGTTCCTTATGCATCTGGGAACAGAGGTTAAGTGATCGTTTCTTAAAAAAATTTTATTTATATATATATATATATATATATATATACACACACACACACACTCACTCTCAGCAGCCACTTTATTGACTACAATTGCTTGGTAACAAAAGTTATTAATCAGTCGATCACATGGCAGCAGCTCAATGCATTTAGGATTTTAGATGTGTTAAAGACGACTTGCTGAAGTTCAAACCAAGGATCAGAATGGGGAAGGAAGGGGATTTAAGTGACTTTGAACATGACATGGTTGTTGGTGCGAGATGGGCTGGTCTGAGTATTTCAAAAGTGCTCATCTACTGGGCTTTTCACACACAACCACCTCTAGGGTTTACAGAGAATGGTCTGAAAAACAAAATATCCAGTGAGTGGCAGTTGTGTGGACGAAAATGCCTTGTTGAGGTCAGAGGAGACTGGGCAGACTGGTTTGAGATGATAGAAAGGCAACAGTGACTCATGTCAATCTGGACCAAAATCTCTGAGGAATGTTTCCAATACCTTGTTGAATTTATGCCATGAAGAATTAAGGCAGTTCTGAAGGCAAAAGGGGGTCTGACCCTTTACTAGCAAGGTGTACCTAATAAAGTGGCCAGTGAGTGTATATACACAGAGTGCAAGTGCATTGATAAAGTATTAAGACCCCTTTCACTTTTTTCAATATTGTTATGTTGCATCCTGGTACTACAGTTGTTTTAAATTTTTTTTTTTCCTCATTAATCTGCACTCAGTACCCCATAATGACAAAGTGAAAACAAAATTTTAGAAATGTTTGAAATTGTATGAAAAAGGAAAAACTGAAATATCACATTGGCATTCAGACTCTTTGCAACAACGCTTGACATTTAAGTCAGGTGCCTCCCATTTCTCCTGATCGTTGGTGAGAGGTTTCTACACCTTGATTGGAGTCCACCTGAGAAGTTGATTGGAAATGCACACGCCTCTCTATAAAAGTCCTCACAGCTGACAATGCAACCTGTATCAGAGCAAAAATGATGAGGTCAAAGGAACTGCCTGCAGAGCTGCCTGCGGAGCTCAGAGACAGGATTATTGCAAGGCACAGGTCTGGGGAAGGCTGCAAAAAATTTCTGCTGCATTGAAGGCTCCCAAGAGCACAATGGCCTCCATAATTCTCAAATGGGATGTGTCCCATAACAAAATTGGGGTCTGATGAATGCAGTGGGGTTTGTTTACTAAAGCTGGTTCACTCAGAATCTCTTCATGGTAGACAATCAGCTTCTAACCTCAGCTTGTTCAATTAAGCTTTAGCAATAAACCCTGGAAGCTGTTTGGTTTCTGTGCAGAAGGGCACAAGATTCTGAGTGAACCGGCTTTAGTAGATAAACCCCAGTGTGTGTGTGTGTGTGTGTGTGTGTGTGTATATATATATATATATATATATATATATATATATATATATATATACACACACACACACACACACACACATTTTATAGCCAAAAGTATTGGGACGCCTGCCTTTACACGCACATGAACTTTAATGGAATCCCAGTGTTTGTACATAAGGTTCAATATTGAGTTGGCCCACCCTTTGCAGCTATGACAATTTCAACTCTTCTAGGAAGGCATTCCACAAGTTTTAGGGGTGTATCTATGGGAATGTTAGACCATTCTTCCAGAAGCACATTTGTGAGGTCAGGCACTGATGTCAGATGGGAAGGCTGGGCTCGGAGTCTCCACTCTAATTCATCCCAAAGGTGTTCTATGAGGTTGAGGCCAGATAAGTTCCTCCACCCCAAACTCTCTCACCCATGTCTTTAAGGACCTTGCTTTGAGCACTGGTGCGCAGTCATGTTGGAACAGAAAGGGGCAATCCCCAAACTCTTCCCACAAAGTTGGGAGCATGAAATTGTCCAAAATGTCTCTTCACTGGAATTAAGGGACCAAGCCCAACCCCTGAAAAACGACTCCACACCATAATCCACCAAACTTTACACTTGGCACAGTGCAGTCAAGCAAGTATCCTTCTCCTGGCAACTGCCAAACCAAGACACATCCATCGGTTTGGCAGACAGAGAAGCATGATTCATCACTCCAAAGAACATATCTCCACTTCTCTAGAGTTCAGTGGCAGCGTGCTTTACACCATTGCATTTGACGCTTTGCATTGCACTGGGTAATATAAGGCTTGGATGCAGCTGCTCGACCATGAAAACCCATTCCATGAAGCTCTCTATGCACTGCTGCTGTGCTAATCTGAAGGCCACACAAAGTTTGGAGGTTTTTAGCTATTGACTCTGCAGACAGTTGGCGACTTCTGCGCACTGTGTGCTTCAGCATGCACTTACCTCGCTCTGTCATTTTTCATTGCTTGGTTGCTGTTGTTCCCAATTATTTCCACTTTGTTATAATAGCACTTTCAGAAAGCGCACCAAAAACACAGGACATAACTATGGGAAAGCACAGCTAACCCACACCAAATCACGCATGCACTGCGCTATATCTGCAGTGCAGTCAAGCCGCACCTCCTCAGCATAAAAGGGGCCTTACAGATGGGGTCTGCATGTCTTTAACAACCATTTAAGGAAGTGTTTGAAAAAAATGCCTGTGTGTCCTAACACAGACAAGGCAATTTAGGTTCACACCAATGCACTGTGTTGATATGCCCTGGAAAAAAAAAGCACAGGATGCATTTTTATGCAGCACAACATTTTGCTGCAGTAAATTAAGTAAACATTGCTGCAGTAAAGTTCAATGAAATGTCATTTTGTGACATTTTAATAAAGTTTAAAAAAAAAAACCCATAAACCGTGCAAATCATAGTAACTAGAGATGAGCGAAGTATTCAAAAATTCGATTCGACTGATTCGGCGAATTCGTGGAAAGATTTCGATTCGAGTCGAATATATTCGCTGCGAATTTAACTTATAAAAGGGTGTTTCTAGGCTTCAGAGAGCCTTTATATTAGTGCAGAACACTGTACCTTTAATTTAAATGCCCTTGGAGTCTGCTGGGGAAGAGAAATAATACTGACAGTCAGTATGACATGCAGATGAGTGCCGTCGATCTTAGAATCACTGCACACTTCACTCATTTGGGCAGTCACGGGGCCAAAACCAGAGTGTGGAGCCACAGTGTGGCGGTGGAGGCAGCAGCAATGGGAGGCCATACAGCACCCTATGACAAAAATGGAAACCACCAGCAGTGTGAGGAGACCTGAAAGTGGCACATGGCAGAGTGTGGCGATGGAGACAGCAGCAATGGGAGGCCGTACAGGGACCCATGACACACTCTGGACCTGGCAGCAGCATGAGGAGGCGGTACAGGGGCCCATGACAGATTACGGGCCTGGCAGCAGCATGAGGAGTCGGTACGGGGGCCCATGACACACTCTGGACCTGGCAGCAGCATGAGAAGGCGGTACAGGGGCGCATGACAGATTACGAGCCTGGCAGCAGCAACTTGGACAGGAGGACGTTCAGCTTCTGCACCGTTGGGTGCGTGCTCGCAAACTGTTGTCTCTTGGAAACGGATTCCAAGAAAGACTGCTGACGGAATCCGTGAAGAGGAGTAGCAGGAGAAGGAGCATCTGAACGAGCGGAATATGCCAACAAGCGACAACAGGGGCCCATGACAGATTACGGGCCTGGCAGCAGCATGAGGAGTCGGTACGGGGGCCCATGGCAGATTAGGGGCCTGGCAGCAGCTATGGGAGGCCCGTAATCTGCCAGCACCCTATGACAAAAAATGGAACACACCAGCAGTGTGAGGAGACCTGAAAGTGGCACATGGCAGAGTGTGGCGATGGAGACAGCAGCAATGGGAGGCCGTACAGGGACCCATGAGAGACTCTGGACTTGGCAGCAGCATGAGGAGGCGGTATAGGGGCCCATGGCAGATTAGGGGCCTGGCAGCAGCTATAGGAGGCCCGTAATCTGCCAGCACCCTATGACAAAAAATGGAACACACCAGCAGTGTGAGGAGACCTGAAAGTGGCACATGGCATGAGACACTGTGGACCTGGCAGCAGCATGAGGAGGCGGTACAGGGGCCCATGGCAGATTAGGGGCCTGGCAGCAGCTATGGGAGGCCCGTAATCTGCCAGCACCCTATGACAAAAAATGGAACACACCAGCAGTGTGAGGAGACCTGAAAGTGGCACATGGCAGAGTGTGGCGATGGAGACAGCAGCAATGGGAGGCCGTACAGGGACCCATGAGAGACTCTGGACCTGGCAGCAGCATGAGGAGGCGGTATAGGGGCCCATGGCAGATTAGGGGCCTGGCAGCAGCTATAGGAGGCCCGTAATCTGCCAGCACCCTATGACAAAAAATGGAACACACCAGCAGTGTGAGGAGACCTGAAAGTGGCACATGGCATGAGACACTGTGGACCTGGCAGCAGCATGAGGAGGCGGTACAGGGGCCCATGGCAGATTAGGGGCCTGGCAGCAGCTATGGGAGGCCCGTAATCTGCCAGCACCCTATGCCAAAAAATGGAACACACCAGCAGTGTGAGGAGACCTGAAAGTGGCACATGGCAGAGTGTGGCGATGGAGACAGCAGCAGCAATGGGAGGCCGTACAGGGACCCATGAGACACTCTGGACCTGGCAGCAGCATGAGGAGGCGGTACAGGGGCCCATGGCAGATTAGGGGCCTGGCAGCAGCTATGGGAGGCCCGTAATCTGCCAGCACCCTATGACAAAAAATGGAACACACCAGCAGTGTGAGGAGACCTGAAAGTGGCACATGTTTGGGGCATGATTCATGGCGGATTTAGTCAGTTGTGTCAGGAACTGGTGGTTTGAAATCCAGACTAATCCACGCCTGATTCATTTTCACAAACGTGAGTCTCTCCACACTTTGGGTGGACAGTCGTGTCCTCCGCGGAGTTACAATACCTCCTGCCGCACTAAACACGCGCTCCGATGCCACTCTACTGGCCGGGCATGACAGCCTTTCAAGGGCAAATTCAGCTAGTTGGGGCCAAAGGTCAAGTTTCGTTGCCCAGTAGTCAAGGGGATTGTCTACCTCGGTTTGCAGGGTGCTGTCCAAGTAGGCCCAAGCCTGTTGTTTGAGGTCCTGCTCCAGGTCCACCTGATGCTGCTGCTGCTGCTGCTGCGGCTGGTTAGTAGTTTCCTCACTGCGCTGGTGAAGAAAGCTACTCATCATCGACTGCAGACTGAGGCAGCGCGCTGCTGGTGGAGCTGCCACTGCTCCTACCACCCCCACCCCTCCTTTGCTGCCATGGCAGCGGAACGCGAGCGCACAGGGCCCACAGTGTCTGAGGATGGACGTTGGCGCACAAAGGCAGAGACCAACTGACTACATAGGTGGTTTTTTATAGTACGTTATTTTGGCCTCCCTCTCAGCAGGTGTGAAAAAGGCCACCATTTTTGAACGGTAGCGAGGGTCCAACAAGGTGGACAGCCAAAAGTCATCCCTCTGTCTGATGGTTATTATTCGGCTGTCGCTACGCAAGCAACCGAGCATGCTATGGGCCATTTGTGCCAAGGAATGCGAGGGACTCCCTGCCTCCATCTCCACAGCATACTGCCACGGTGCATCTGGGTCCTCTGTCTCCTCCTCCTCCTCCTCTACCAGATGCTCCTGCTCCTCCACTCCTGTCCGCTGAGTGGAAAAACCACCTGTCAGGGATCCTACAGCGGTAGCCTCTAGCACTCCACAGACCGGATTCCCCCAAGGCGCGGAATCTAAGTCCCTACCTGCTTGTTCACCAGGGCCCCTGATGGTGGGGATGGACTTGGAGCAGGCCGAGACCAGGTCGCGGCCCTTGAGTTCACCCAGCTGTGGTAGAAGCACCGTTGGAGGTGTATAGCGGGTGAGAGTCTGATGTGAGGAGGTCACAAGAGCAGCGTCAGGCAGGCTGGGTCGGTAACAGTGGTGGCAGCGTGGTACAAAGTCAGCAGGCAGAGGAATAAACTGGTCACAAGCCGGGTTCGTTAACAGGAGATCAGAACGTGCAGGGTTAAGCAGGAGAATGGTCAGACAAGCCAGGGATCAGAGCAGGAGAAGACAGCAGTATCAGGAACAGGCTGGTCGGCAACAAGGTATTCAGGAACACTGGATCAAACAGGAACACAGGTAACAGGTAAGACCAATACGGCACTTGAGCATTGCAAGAGCTGGGTTTAAATAGGCCGCCCAACTCCTGACAGGCGCTCCTGAGTCCTAGTGCCTGCCCGGCGCCGTCATCGGTGACAGGCGCGCCTGGGTCCTAGTGCCTGCCTGCCTGTATGTCTTGTCAGGATTCTACGCATGTGCAGATTCGATCGCCGAGGCGATCTTCCCATTCCCTGACACCACCCATTTCACTCAATAATTCCTGAGCACAAATGTCCTCCTCTACCTCCTCCTCTTCTTCCTGTCCTGCCCCCACAGGGGTCATGTGGCGTTGAGATCTGTGCGCCACGTCTACCGCCCCCTGACCAGCCATTGTTAACAGCATTTGTTCCAGGACGTGCAACAGAGGAATGACGTCGTTCATCCCATAGTCCTGCCGACTCACGAATAGCGTGGCCTCCTCAAAGGGCCTGAGCAAGCGGCAGGTGTCACGCATGAGCTGCCAATGGCTGACATCGAAGTTACACAGGGGAGTACCTTTATCCGCTTGTAACATCAGGAAATCGGTGATGGCCTTTCGCTGTTCGTAAAGGCGGTCTACCATGTGTAGGGTTGAATTCCACCTTGTTGCAACGTCGCAGATCAGGCGATGCTGTGGAATTCCGTTCTGCCGCTGCAGCTCAAGGAGGGTGTGCTTTGCGGTGTAGGAATGGCTGAAATGCATGCAAAGTTTACGTGACATTTTAAGGATGTCTTGCAGTGGGATGGTGGATTTTAGGAACCGCTTGACAACCAGATTGAACACGTGAGCCATGCATGGCGCATGGCACAACCTTCCTTGACGCAGAGCAGACACCATGTTCTTTCCGTTGTCGGTCAACATGGTTCCGATTTTCAGTTTGCGCGGAGACAGCCATCTGTCGATTTCTCTGTTCATTACACTGAGAAGTTCCTCCCCTGTGTGACTACGTTCGCCTGGACCTGGCAGCAGCATGAGGAGGCGGTACAGGGGCCCATGGCAGATTAGGGGCCTGGCAGCAGCTATGGGAGGCCCGTAATCTGCCAGCACCCTATGTCAAAAAATTGAACACACCAGCAGTGTGTGAGGAGACCTGAAAGTGGCACATGGCAGAGTGTGGCGATGGAGACAGCAGCAATGGGAGGCCGTACAGGGACCCATGAGACACTCTGGACCTGGCAGCAGCATGAGGAGGCGGTACAGGGGCCCATGGCAGATTAGGGGCCTGGCAGCAGCTATGGGAGGCCCGTAATCTGCCAGCACCCTATGACAAAAAATGGAACACACCAGCAGTGTGAGGAGACCTGAAAGTGGCACATGTTTGGGGCATGATTCATGGCGGATTTAGTCAGTTGTGTCAGGAACTGGTGGTTTGAAATCCAGACTAATCCACGCCTGATTCATTTTCACAAACGTGAGTCTCTCCACACTTTGGGTGGACAGTCGTGTCCTCCGCGGAGTTACAATACCTCCTGCCGCACTAAACACGCGCTCCGATGCCACTCTACTGGCCGGGCATGACAGCCTTTCAAGGGCAAATTCAGCTAGTTGGGGCCAAAGGTCAAGTTTCGTTGCCCAGTAGTCAAGGGGATTGTCTACCTCGGTTTGCAGGGTGCTGTCCAAGTAGGCCCAAGCCTGTTGTTTGAGGTCCTGCTCCAGGTCCACCTGATGCTGCTGCTGCTGCTGCTGCGGCTGGTTAGTAGTTTCCTCACTGCGCTGGTGAAGAAAGCTACTCATCATCGACTGCAGACTGAGGCAGCCGCTGCTGGTGGAGCTGCCACTGCTCCTACCACCCCACCCCTCCTTTGCTGCCATGGCAGCGGAACGCGAGCGCACAGGGCCCACAGTGTCTGAGGATGGACGTTGGCGCACAAAGGCAGAGACCAACTGACTACATAGGTGGTTTTTATAGTACGTTATTTTGCCTCCCTCTCAGCAGGTGTGAAAAAGGCCACCATTTTTGAACGGTAGCGAGGGTCCAACAAGGTGGACAGCCAAAAGTCATCCCTCTGTCTGATGGTTATTATTCGGCTGTCGCTACGCAAGCAACCGAGCATGCTATGGGCCATTTGTGCCAAGGAATGCGAGGGACTCCCTGCCTCCATCTCCACAGCATACTGCCACGGTGCATCTGGGTCCTCTGTCTCCTCCTCCTCCTCCTCTACCAGATGCTCCTGCTCCTCCACTCCTGTCCGCTGAGTGGAAAAACCACCTGTCAGGGATCCTACAGCGGTAGCCTCTAGCACTCCACAGACCGGATTCCCCCAAGGCGCGGAATCTAAGTCCCTACCTGCTTGTTCACCAGGGCCCCTGATGGTGGGGATGGACTTGGAGCAGGCCGAGACCAGGTCGCGG